CAGCCTTCAAGCAGTGCAGCAACAGCTTTCTTCCTTCCTTTCTTCCTGCAAAAACTTAATAAGCACTATAATGTCATTAAGAAATAGCACTATTTTTCATTTTCCTTGCAACATCTGGGCAGAGCAGTGATAGCTGCTCTGATCACTTTTTTCTTCTTTAGTTTTCATTATCTCTATAACATTATTAAGAATTAGTGTCATTTTTCAATTTGTGGTTGAAGAGGAAATTTTAATGTGAGAGGGAGAACTTGAAGTTTCTAATTAGAGTCAGCTGAAATTGAGGGGTGCGCACAAGTTGTTCCCTGGGAATTGGATATAGGATTAATGGATTTTTTTTTGGCATAATAGCAGTGTGGGGTTGGGAAAGTTGAGAGATGGTGCTATGAAGTAATAGGGCAAATTGGCTCATGTTTTAAGTCAAATAGGTTAATGGAGGCATACCCAATCTTTCCCAAGTGTTAACAAGAAAATCTAGGGGGTGAATGATTTCAGTGGTGCAGTATCCACAAATGTTTGCATCCTCCATTGTAATTCTGTTAAAAAAAATTAATTCATCTTATGGTACAGGTGAGATGGCTCTAAATGTAATAGTAACATGTGATCCTACCCCAAATCAGATATTAATAGAGATGGTGTATGCAGTTTTCATAGAAACGTCACAGTTAATGCACAATTTTTGTTTTATAGGCCAAGCAAGCAATTCTCGAGATGGATGCTACCTGTAAGTGTGTTTCTTTCAACAGTTAAGTAAGAAGCTGTGAGGGAGGAAGAAACAGTGTGAAGGGGAAATATGTAGTAACAAACAGGGAACACAGATATTAGCTATCACCAAGTTTTCCTCCTGTTACGTGATATTGATGCAGTTATGATGTGTTGTCACTGAAGCCTGGTGGGCTTCAGTTGATGGCCTTGGACAAGCCACTGTCATTTAACCTCAGTCCCCACCTGCAGTGTGTGTGTACGATAACACAGGCCTACCTTACTGGGCTGTTGTAAGAATTACAGAGGTAAAAAGTACGTCTCATCTAGTTCGGCCCTGTCTTTCTGAAGCCTGCTTATGTTGTTGCTGCTTATTGTAGTGCATACACATAGAGTGAAGATGACTTGTCAAATGCCAAAAGTGTTTGCAGATGTATATTATACAAGTACTTCATGGACAGGGATTTGCTGCAGCTCCCTTTTAGTGTTTCTTCAGTTCAGTTTTCTTCTGAGAACTTTTTTTTTCAATTTCAGCAGGGGAAACTGGGAGTACTGATAAAACTCCTATGAAATATTTTCTCTTTTGGAATGAATGAAATATTTTTAGACAAGGTTTTACTCATTCCAAGTCTATAACATGAACATTTCAATGTAAAATAATCTACAACCTTCAGTAATGATAATTTCTATGTATACTGTTAAAAGGGATTAATTTTGTCCACAATTAATAAGCTACCAGGTGTATGATGATAATACACATAGGAATTAATTCAAATAAAAGGGTTTTTGTCCCCCAGTTTCCAAATCTGAAATTTTACATCTCAAGAAGGGAAACTATACTCCCATTTCGTAGACATGTTTGTGCACAATCGTATAAAAAAGTTCCATGCTGGACTAGATGGCCCCCTGGTCTGAGCCAGCAGGACTCTACTTATCTAGAATGGTTTTTTGACAATACAGAAAAGGGTGTTTAAGTGTGTGAATGGTGTTTTATTACCAATGCTGTCCTAGGCCTAATGGTCATTGCAGTATATGAACCTGTAAAACAAGTTGTTATTACTAGGGCTGGATTAGAACTCGGCTCAGTATTTTGGCTGCCTTTCTTCACTTCTTCAGACTTTCCTGAGGTTCCCTCCTCTCATTTTTTGTTTTGTCCCTCTTTAAAAGTTGTACTGCCACTGCTGTTTGGCTGCAACACCACAGACATGCTGTGCTGTGCAATTATAGCATCCTGTTGTACTGAATACGAATGATGAGCTTACCCAACCAATGCCAAGGTGGAACTTCAGTTAGAAAACATATGCTTTAAAAACATTTAATTTTGATAGTAGCAATCCAGCCAGTGTAACTTGAGGATAAGACTTCATTGTAAAATAAAGTTTGGCATTTCCCCCCCCACAAAGGCAATCTACAAACAACAAGAGAATGCAATTTAGGGCAGTTTTCAAAAACAATCTAAAGCATTTACATTGTTTTTACAGTAGGGAGAATTTCTTAACAAAGTCGTCTACCTGATGTATCCATTAATAACTAATTATTACTATTTACTACTGTTTCTCCCATTTCCTTATAGATCACCCAGGATTCCATTATAGCCCAGAAGGAGAGACAAAAGTATTGAGTAATTCTAAAGAAGGAATTGCCCCACAAAGGGTGAGAAGGAAATCAGGTAATAACAAAGCTTGCTGTCACTTAAAAAAAAAAAATCCCCTCCAAAATTAAACTGCTTAATCATTTATGGTGATTGTCAAGAAATGAGATTAAAGAGCTTTACATCTGAGTTTAGATACTACCAGGGGTCATTTCGTAGAAAAAGAGGTGCAGGAGCTCATTAGCATAACTCATTAGCATAACTTATTTGCATATGCCACACCCCCTGACTTCACCAGAAGTGTGTCAGAAGGCAACACTCACCATTCAGGCTCCACCCCAAAAATCTCCAGGTATTTCCCAGCTCAGAGCTGGCGAGTCTACCTGGAGAAAAACTGCTTCAAAAGCACAACAAAGAAAATAGTCAAGATGTTAATTGGTTTCAGTGTAACAAACATTTATTATAATGTTCCGTTCTGGCTCATTCCGCCTCGAAATAACCCCTGGGCAGATGTATCTTTACTTGTGGAATGCTGAGACCAATTAACTGAGACCCTGTCATTACGCTCCATCCATCTCCTCTCAAGCATGGAGGCAACCTTACAGCATCTTCTTCTTTGAAGTTGGGTGATTGGCCGTGTAGAGTTGTCTCCCCTGTCTCCAGACCAGAGAAATACATTCCAATCTACCATTCCAAATTACAGTACATTCTACTATTATCATGTTACATTACAATCTACTATTCTAATCAATTATTCCAAATAAGAAATAAAGTACAATAAAGAGGATGTATGGCCCTTCTGGGGGCATTGGTGAGAATATAGCTGTAAGGGCTGAAGTTAGCATATGTAGTGAGATAAAAATGTATGGACTGGTAATTTCCATTTCATTGTAGCTGAAGAAGTGTACATGCACAAAAGATTATACCCAGAATAAAACTTCGTTGTTCTTAAAGGTGTCATGGGATTCAAACTTTGTTCTACTGCTTTGGACCAACATGGCCACCCACCCAAAACTATCCTTTTTCCAGGCATTCTCTGTTCTCAGTATGTTCTCTCTCGAACGTGATCTGGAAAGAACACCAATCCAAGCATGCTAGCAAGCCATCTGAATGGGAAGGTGTACATTTTCAAAGGCCTTGCCCACATTAGTATCATTTTCCCTCCATCAGCCCCTAGTGACTTCCATTTTCCCCACTGCACCACCAAAGGGCTTAACCCCCCACCCCGATAATTACTATTCCATTATAGTGCAATAACATTATGGCAATCTAGTGTTACCGTCTACTAGTTCCCATTTGGATGGTCCCCTTTGCAAGCCCCTGAGTGGGTCACTGGAGAAGCAGTGAAAGCAGCCCGCCCGCCCCCCCAGGAATAAACCCACAAAACACCAGAGGGTGGCAACTGCAGCTTCTTTCCTCTGTGGGCAGCATGCACAAACCTAAGGTTGGTTGCCAACCTCCAGGCAGGACCTGGGAATCCACTACAATTACAACTGATTTTCCACATGTGGCTGATGAATCCTACCTTGTGAGCCAAAAAATCTACAAGCATAAATGTTGGGAGCATGCCTAATTCTTTTTTTAAAAAAAAATTAAGTTCAAAAACATACAAACATATGAAGAAATGGAAAAATCGAAAGAGGAAGGAAGGAAGGAGGAAAGGGAAAGAAAGGGATAAAAGGGAATGAAGGAAATAATAGAAATGGAAACAAAGGGGAAAAGGGAGAGACAGAGAGAAAAAGAGAGGTGAATGAAAGAAAGAAAGGGAGGGAAAGGGAAAAAGTGAAAGAAGGAAAAGAAAGGAAAAGAAATGGGGGGGAAAGGGAAAGAAAAATGGAATGGAAAGGAAAGAAATTGAAAGAAAATAACGAAAGGGAAAAAGGGGGGAAATGAAAAGAAAGAATTGAGATAAAGGAAAAAGAAGTGGGAAGAAACAAATAGAAAGGGAGGGGAAAGGGGGGGAAGAGAAAGATGGGAAAACAAAGGGGAAATGGAAAAAATGGAAGGGGAAGAAAGAAATTGAAACAAAGGAGCCGAAACAGGGTGCGGAGGGTGTTCAGGGCACGGGACGGGGCACTG